TACAGACAGAGATTAGACACAGTTTTTATGTAGAAAGATGCAGGATTGAACGGGCTACCCCTCACCGCGTTCTGTCTCACAGCAAAAACTCTCAACCATAGACCCATAGTAATTCTATGCCTCCACGAATGAATAACTGCATGTTTCAGATTATATTGCAAATGTTTCGAGATAGTTTTAAAAATCAGGTTGAAAAACTACTCACTTTATTCATAGGATTATGTTGAAATTACAAATGCGTAAAGTTACACCTGAGAGAAAAACGTTTTGCAATAATTTTTGTTGCGTGAAAGTGACGTGATTTGTGAGGGTAAATTTTCAACTTGATCGAACAAAGCTTCTATAGAAGCAATAAGTTTTGCACTGACTCATAAAAGATCTGGATTTCTTGGCCTTTCTTGAAACAAAAGAAAACCGAGAACACATCATTCCCATGTGTTTAAACAGAATGGGCATGAGGGGATAAAATAGATTATACCTTGATATTCTGAAGTAGCTTGAATGGATTCTGACTCATGAGGATCCTCTGCACGTGCCCACCTCTGATTTCAACGATCCTTTGCCGATAGATACTATAGTCTCGTAGTAAAAACCCTAAAAGAAAGTATGCTGAGATGTTGCAGAGTATTTCTGATATTAGACTGTTCAGTCCTATTTTGTTCTTAATATGTTATATAGGATCTTGTAGCTCGTGAAATTCAATCATCTATTATTTGTAAATATTAAATCTATTATTGTGAAAAAGAAAAATATGTAGAGTTTTGCTTTGATTTGATTTATACTATATTTTATTTTTCAAATTTATCGTATCGAATACACATCCAAAGAGAGCTAATGTCTCAGAGGAAGACAGCAAGAACTCCATTACTATTGGGATGTCTGACGAATAAAATAAATAAGTTTAACTGTACATAGAAGGATAGAACAAGAAAAACAAAAAAGAAAATGAATCCAAAAAAGGAGAAGAACGCGATTAGTACAATAACAAAAGAGGAAAGAGGTAAAGCTACATGTAACAAAACTGTTGTAACAATAAAACTATCCTTAATTGTGGAATCATTTGAAAGATACAATATACTCAATAACAGTAGTGTAGATGAATAGATATTGGTCTCTAGTAAGAAAAGTTTTAGTAACAAAAAATCAACATATAGCAGCAGGAGCGGGTCTATGGTTGAGAGTCTTTGCTGTGAGACAGAACGCGGTGAGAGGTAGCACGCACAACGTAGCAAGTTTATCTGATACTATGTAATTTTCTTGTAAAGCGTATCAGAATAACACGAGATATATATGTGTCATGTTGATGGTTCTGAAGGAAGATACCAAACACAACACAAAAAAGATAGCAAAAAAGTTACTACTGGTAACATCGGGCGATTGCACAATTTCAATCGTTGTACAGAATGTAGACACAGAACAGTGAATTTAGTTTTGCAGTTTACTGGAAAGCTAAGTTCATGTGTTCGAATCTCTATTCATACAAAAATTGATTTTGTGTTTTTGGTATTTTTAGTGAGAGGCGCCGGTGTGTCATGAACCTGGGTGAAACTCAGTATTTTTGTCGTCTCCTGTCGAACTTTTATCAAAGCGTCATGAGAAATATAAGTGCTCTTTTTATTCAGTTCAACGATGAATTGGATGAGATTAGATGGATATATTGCTAGAATAAATGGCTATCCATTATCATCTACTGGCATACGAATCGGAATAGGACTTAGAAAATGATTGGAACTCCACACAAATTTTGAAAAAGAAACTGACGCAGTTTCTGGGGAAAGTTCGGCCAGATATCGATTTGTCTCAAATCGCCCATTGGCTATACAAACTTTCTTTCGGACGAAAGATAAAATTCCAAAGTATCTTCAGTCAGATATAGTCCATCAGACCAAATGTAGCAATTGTGAGAATGGTTATGTAAAAGAAACAGAACACCAGAGTCTTCGTAGACTTCAGAAACATGGTGCTCCTAAAGACTTATTTCAAGAAGATCGTGACACGACTATTCCACGAATTTTATTAATACCAACTTAGGTATTTCTGGCAGAGGGAGGGGAGGGCAGTGTGAGAGTGAGTTCGAAAAGTAGTTTCACATAAAAGATATTTGCATCAATAGTGTGAATTTAGTTCAGGTCTAGATGTTTGATTTCATTCGAATGATGGCAGAATATTTGAAGTTTCCAATCCAGGAGTTCCTTTTAAAAAATGAATAAATTTTTTGTCGCCTCTGTGAAACATCAGTACCCGATCAATTGATTACTCACAACATAAGAGAAAAGGAAAAGAGAGGCGTTACACAACAAAAGAAACACACAATAGACGTCATGTGGTAAGTAATATATAATGAAAAGAGAAAGAAATACGACGAGTCATCAGTTTGTCATAGATATACAGTGAATAAATATAAGCTACTATGCAATAAAAGTACGAAACACGTTCACTTTTGTCTGTTCGCACGCACATTCGAGCAGTATTTACCTTACAGTGATTACAAAACATTTCTACTCTGTACTTTCATCGTACTTAATTTTAGTTTAAAAATGGTACAATTCAGTTAACAATACATTGTTTCATGAAATTCCTGTACGGAACTGCAGTGCGTGGATAGTTATACTGGAGTGTAAGTTTAAGAAGTGCACAAGACTTCCTACAGTTTTATGTAGAAATGATCGGTGACTTCCTACGCATCTTTACACGGTGTCACATGATTTCCTAAACATCACGTGACACCGGATATTCCGTGTTTCCCCGTTAAGTTAATATCCTATGGATGCACAGTCGTTATAACTATCTACGTGAATGCAACTGATCTACTTTCGTCTCAGTTCTAACCAGTTTTCACCTCAGTCATTACATGTATGCTACAAGCTATGTGGTCAAGAACGGGCAAAAGAGATGTTGACTCTTCTGATATGATGCAAAGGAGCAAACATGTCGGAGTTCTTGAGCTGTGAAACAGCTTATTACTATCAACCTGTCAGATATGCTTTTGCTTAGAATTCCTGGTATGGTCTCTTGTGTGTTGCCTGGGGATCCCACCTCGGCTTTCAACAGTGTAAATGTAAAGGACGGGAACGTATAAGGTCAGAAATCAGCCCACTCTCTTTTCAGAGTAAAAATGGGTTCTCATCAACGAAAAACGCCGCACAATTTAATAACAGATGAAAACAGATACATTTATTCACTAAAATCCCTTAATTTCTCCACAATACCGTTCCCATCAGCAACCTCAAAACAAGTCCTACATGCTCATCAAACGATACCTCTCCCATACTTCTCACCCACAAGGAGACTAACAAAACATACGAATTGATAGCCCCCACTAGTGCACTCTTTTACTCCATGTTCTACCTCTTTTAGTCAATATTTTCTGAGAAAACAAAAATTATACTCTGCTGTATAATACACTATTCGACAGCCCTTGAAATTCTCTACAAACTGAGCAAATGAGAATGTCTTGAGTGGATGGGCTAGTTTGCACCGGCATCCAAAAGAAGCATTCGACTACCGAAAACATCAGTAGAGCATTCGTTTATTCAAGCTGTTCTGAGAAAAGGAAAGACTATACTCTTCTAGATAATATACTGTTCGATAGCCTGGGAAATTCTCTACAAACGGATATAGTAAGAATGTCTTGATCAGCTGGACCAGTCTGCGCAGACATGGAAAAGAAGTGTTCGACCGCCGAATACACGGCTAGGGCACTCTTTTAGCCAAGATTTTCTCAGGAAACGAAAAATCATACTCTTCCCTACAATATGCCGTTCGGTAGCTCTTGAAATTCTCTACAAACTAAGCTAGTCAGAATGTCCGCACTGGTCGGGCCAGTTACCAAATACATACAAAAGGAGCGTTGGAGTACGAAAACCACGTGCTGCAAACTACTTTAGTCGTTTTCCTGTCCTAATAAAAAATGATGTATTTTTTAAAAGTATACCGTTGGATAGGCCTCGAAATTCTCTAGAAACTGGGCTATTTAGAATATCTAGACTTCTAGGATCAGTCATTAAAGATATGCAAAACAAGTGTTTGGATATTATTTATGTACTAAAGCGTGTCCTAATCATAAGAACTCCTTTCTTTTTGAGTTTTCACTAAGAGCTGGAACAATTCAGAGCACAGTTTTTTGCATAGCTGGAAGATTTTCTATCAGATCAGATCCGTATCGCCTTTTATGAGCAAACTTGATCATAGGGTTTCTGAAAAATCTGACCGCTGGAAAACCAAGTCTTTGGTTTTTGGTCTGAAAGTTTTTCAAATGATATAGCCTGATAGAGCGAAGAATTCTGGGCAAAGTGGTATATCTTCCGGCTGTAGTTAAAATTCTTTCGTCAAACTGCGGTCGATTTACGATTGACTACAAAAGGGCCTGAAAATTACCATAATATACCGGTGAAAAGGCGTTATAGGCGGCCGGCAGATATATTGTTTTGCTCAACATTCTTCGCTCTATCAGGCTATATCATTTGAAAAACTTTCTCACCAAAAACCAAAGACTTTTTTTCGTTGATGGGAACCCATTTTTACCCTGAAAAGAGAGTGGGCCGATTTCTGACCTTATACGTTCCCGTCCTTTTCTGTACGAAAGGTATTCAGTGATCACTTTCGAATTTGTATCAATAATATTAAAAATCCCTTGCAAGGATGGTGATTTTTCAATTTTGAGATTAGTATAACATCGGAATCAAAGAGATCATATATTCTAAGTTACAGTCTGATGATACTCTTGTAAGCTAATTAGTTCTTCAAAGGGTATTAATGTCTCCAGATGAAAATGACTTTAGTTTCCATCTATTTTAAAAAGGTCCAGAAAGGGTGAGATACACTGAAGAAGTTGTGATGTTAATTCGTGTCAGTTTCAGAATTTATTTGCCATGACCTCATTGTGCAAACTTGAATATTTACCAAATGAATTGTTTTATATGATATATGGTTATTTGAATGGAACAGATCTTGTTATATCATTGTACAATTTGAACGCTCGACTTAATTCACTCATAAGTACTATCAATTATTTAAATATCGATTTAACAAATGTTTCACGAAGAAGCTTTTTTCACATAATCAAATTTGTATTTCCAGCGCTTACCGAACAAATTTATGGAGTGACATTACCTAATAAAGACATTGTGATACGTCGTTTTCGGACCCACATTCAACTCCCATATCTTCGTTCGTTAACTTTGAATAAAGTGGCGCCTGTGAATGTGCGAATTATACTTGAGAAATTAGCGTACGGTCATCTATCCCATTTGTCAATTTCAAGCGATATCACATCATGTAATAGTCAGTCGGACATTGACGACATTATAAAAATAATATTTAGTGAGAAAATGTTTACACTCAAAACATGCAACATTCCCGATTATAGAATTGATACTAGTGAGGATAGTTTGGGTATTTGTTCGGTTGAATCGATGACCGTGCAGACACTCAATGTTTGTGTATTGAGTGAAGTTATGCAACATTTGCTGTTTATGAAATATTTACGTGTGCGTATCTCTAACTCACTCGATAATATTCTGCTACCGTCATCATTTGATCTATCAAATTTGATCTCATTTGAATTAGTCGTCTGTGATGTTGATATTGATAATATTGAGTGGTTACTCAAACATATGCCAAAACTCGAACGCTTATTCTATTTCTTTTTATCTACAAATCTTAATAATAATCGTTATTTCTATACAAACTATCGTCATTATTCACAAATCAATACTGTCATCTGGAGAAGAATATTAGCGGGTTTACCGCTGCTGGAGAATTTTGATTTGTCCATCAAACTTGATAATGGTGGCTGGTACACCGCTGACAAGTATCTAAATACGTTTAAATGGAAATTTTGGTACATATTTATTGCGTTTTCATATGACACAGCTTCACAACACGCATGTAGCATATATAACTGGAATCCTCCGACACAGACTGATACAGTCGATATGTGCAGATCAACTCGTTCTGATTTGTCCATCGCGTTTTCGTATGAAATGCAACGTCTACGAGATTTATTCTCCTACACTCTCATCAAATGTCGTATAGATTCTGAAATTGATCTGGAAACGGTAAGAGTTCCTGCCTTTCATCATCAACCTGTTAAACATCGTCTGTTATTTGGTAATGCTCCTCGTTCGTCCAACTTTAAAAAGAAATTCAATTGGCGAAAATCACACCGATGAAAACAATCACACCTGATATTTTCTTATACAACATTTTATCCATGTTGTCTACTTTTACTTAATCAGGACACATTAAAAAATTAAAGTAAACGTTACATGTTTTTCTCAATCTTTCGAGCTTATTAATTATATTTTTTCTTATCGTTTCATTTTAACAATATTTACTATTCAACTGCATAGTCTTCACTTATTGCTGGGTACAGACACAGATCCACATGCAGACTGCTGTAGCAATATCGCAAAGGTGATAAAGTCGATGTGTAGCCATCCAACCAGTCTTTCGAGGGATACTTCGAGTGCTCAGAAATATGTTTTCGATGGGCTTTCGCCGAATTATAACGAACTATAAATATTGTTCATAAAAATAGATTTTATTAGTGTAATGCGCCAAGGGATTTGAATTTTAAAACACTAAAGGGGTGAGAGGTCCTCCCATCCAGATTTTTCTCTCAGTTTGTAGAGAACACTTTGAAACCTAGGAATCAATATTTTTTTCATTTCTCGGAGTTCATGTTTTTTTCAGAAAACAATTTTGTAGTTACCCAGAGAAACCATTTGAACCGGATTGATATTGTTACGTAGTGTTAGACGTAACTTGTATTCTTGCTTGTGCCAGTGCCAACAATGAAATGTGTTTGGATGTTTAATTATCAAAGGCTAGTTCAGATATAGCATGTACTAACATAAGCGAGTAGTAGGTGAATACACACGAGTTTAAGTAGATATCTTTTATTTTGAAACGAAGAACAAAATATGATGCAAGAACAAAATATTTATGATAGTCCTTTCGCTCTCGTTTCGGCCACTACATCGTATTGGTAGCTGCAGACGTTGTGCTGTGGCCTACATTTTGTTATGAAAGTCATAAATTTGATCAAAACGGACCTTGTGGGTATGTGCCACACCCTGACTCGCAGCCGCCACCGTTTGTCCTAGTTTTGGTTCGGGACGTAATTCTTTAGTGGCTAAAGTCACTGCACATTCCCTGATCCACAAACGATCATCGAGTCGCTAGGCTACATCGACTGCCGTACCTTGAGTGTTTTGATAACCAGACGTAGGTTCGGTCATAATGATGTAGTTTTTCTTCACTTGCCCCACCGGTGTACCAAGATTACATGTTTTATTAAGTTTGTCAGCTAGTGTCCAGGTACCATAGACGTTGCGTCTACGTCCTAAAGAACCGTATCTCGTCTCGATTGTTATTGTTGACGATGGTGATGCAGCCATTTATCATTTATTTAAATAGAAATTTAAGCTTGAAAGACTTATTTTAATATGTTTTAAGAGCCCTCAATATGCTTATAGCCAGGCGCGAGTAATATTTTCAGACTAAATTCTTTTTTTGCGTGCTCTTGTTGTTTGCAGTTTTCGAGTTAAGTTATTCTTTTCGGACGAACTTTCAAGAGCGCGATTTACTCCTTTGTCGCCTTATTCAAAATATTACTAATTTGAATTTTTATTTATATTTCAAAAAACTATGTACACAAATGGTATAAAAAAGAAACTCAATTGAATTTACACACGCACAGAATGAAACTGAACCAAAAATCAGCTTCACTGCCAAATAAAACTCAGATCTCAGAAACATAAACAAGACTGAATTCGTCTATATAAGCCGCCGGCACTCGAGTTTTAGCAAAAACAAATTAGCAGAGTACTGCGAAACACAGCACTCTTCACCGCCAGCTTCCACCATTCGCTAGAGGATCTGCTAATATTAGCAAACTTTCACCATCTGATTATTCAAATGCACCATCTAGTGTTAACATATCGGCCTTTTTAACATCATCATCGAATGAATTGGCCATTTACTGTTGTTACTGCTGGTTGTTGTTGCTACTATCACCGCTAATACAATTATTGCTGCGGACAACGATGCTGCTGGTTAAGGATGAAAAGAAGAGGATTAAACTGTTTTTTGTGAGTTGTTATATTGTATACAGGGCTTTTGTAACGAAGTACAGGGCCGTTACGAAAGCCGTGTAAAAGAGTCTTACGAAGGCCCTGTCAGAGCATCTACTAGAGATTAATCCCTTGCATTATCGTTACGAAAGCTCTGTTAGTGATCTTAGTGACTGACTACCTCATAGTGAGGATATGACCCTATTAATAGTGTTACAAAGGCCCTGTAAAAACAGGTATGAAAGTCCTGTTACTTTTTAGTTCGAAAGCTCTGTAAAAAAAGAGGGGACTCGATAAAACGCCACCTAGAGGTCTTATATTTTGTATTGATAGTATACCAGTTGTATCCTCAATAGTCTGTATAATATTGTCGAACTTAACCAACCACTTGAAAATGTTGCTAAAACTCGCTGAGATTATATATTTTGACAGGGGAACATTCACCTTAGATGCCATCAGGTTCTAATAAAAATAAAAAAATAACTAGAAAACCGTTTGGGATGGCTTGAGAAGAGCTTCCATTTGCAAAGACACCACTTATAGAAAATCCTCGATCAACAATTTCGAATCTTTTGGATGAAAACTGACTTCGAACGATGTTCTTAGTACTTCCTATTAATTAGCTCTTCAAAATGTAACTTCAACTACTTTAAGCCCTTACCCCATTCACCCAAGCAAAACTCGAAATTTTTTCTTCTGAAGTATATAGACTTGATTATGGTTATTACAAGCACCGATGCAGATAATGATAATCAGGCGTCTCCCGCTTCACGATACTGTTTTTTCTGGAAAACCGGATGCGGATTCCGCAGTTGTTACCTATTTAAAGCAGTCTGTAGATAGAGCACAGAAAGTTGTGTATTCTTTATAATTTTCTTACCGTTTCAAGTTTTCGTTATAAAACAGTATCCAAAGGATGAAGATCAGTGTATAGATGGCTTATAGTTTCACGCCTGCTGTAAATATTTTCAGTCACAGAAACAACATTTTGGACGCTTTTAATAACTGTTTCGAAGCCAGTGTCTTTAAGCATAATTAATGTTTCCCCATATATTGGGGAATCTGAACTGGCTGCAAGTTCATTTCCAAGCGCAAAAATTGGATTGGCGGTATATTAAATACCCTATATATCCTAAATATCCTAAGGATACTATGTAGCAGAGGCTGCCGCAGGATAGGGCACAGTGTGCATTTTTCCATAGGCCAGGCGAACATTTCTTATAGAAGCAATCCGAAAGCCTCCAAACACTTTTTTTATAGGTTCTCAGATATGCTCTTTCCAATGGTGTTTTACAAAGTTCAAAGAGACTTTCATCTGAGTTGTCCCGAGACCGGGTCACCAGAAAACCCACATATAAGTATTCTGTAACTTTATACGACGCAGCATTGGAAAGAGCATATCTGAGAACCTATAAAAAAAGTGTTTGCAGGCTTTCCCATTGCTTCTGTAGGAAATATCAAAATCCTTAGCCGAAATTGTTAAGCTGTGCTTCGACTTTCGCGTTTCGTTAGATCCAACTAGTTTTGCTGCTTTAAAAACCTATTAATCGCACATCATTTGATTATGCATGTTTATGCAATCACCATGCATGGAGCACACCTAGGTGAACATTCTGTAAAAGTTTGAACAACCTGCGACTTGAGGGTTTTTGAGGACATTCATTTTAGTACACAACATTGTTTTTCGTCGCACCTCCGTGTTTTAGCTAATTTTGGAAATGTGTTTTCTGGCAATTCACAGCAGTTGGAACAAAACTGTTTGTGCCATCAGATAGGGCATATCTTGAAGTATATGGGTCGCTATTTGAATTAGTTAAAAGTCGCATTCTAATTTTTCGCCTAACGTCCTCCTGGATGCACACTGTGCAGGGCGATATATTTTTGATGCCTTGTCCGGCGACAAGGCAGGGCAACAAAAATTTCCTTGCTTTGCCCTGCGAGGATTGAGAACTCATCACAAGATTAAGAAGACATACAGTTAAAAGAGTTATTTATTTTATTCGTCAGACATCCCAATAGTAATGAAGTTCTTGCTATCTTCCTCTGAGACATTAGCTCTCTTGTGATGTGTATTCGATACGATAAATTTGAAAAATAAAATATAGTATAAATCAAATCAAAGCAAAACTCTACATATTTTTCTTTTTCACAATAATAGATTTAATATTTACAAATAATAGATAGTGTATCACTCAAATTAAGCTTGATTTGAGTTGGGTCCACATCGTCGACCGTCAATTGTTGTGATT